CACCTTCTTGGGATGAACTGGTGAACAAGCCATCTCATTATGAAGCTCGATGTTAAAATCTGGGGGATCACTGGTGGATAAATACACTTCCGTTTCACCTTCTGCTAGGTATCTGTTTCCGGTGCCACCTTCGTAATTCGTTGGTTTGTAGCCGAGGTTGTCCGAAAACTTGGCGAAATCTCCCGCCTCAAACAGGGGCAGATTTCGAAATAAGACAGCGCTGTGTTTTGGAAGAACTTTATCAAGCTGTTCCCGGCAAAGCTGACCCCATTTATCAGGGGTCAGGTGATCAATAGATTCGGCGCGCAAAGCAAATGGAAATCCTTCTCTTGCGGATGAAAGGAATTTCGGGAGGCCCTTTCCACCAGATCCAGGCAGGTATTTCCTGCCAGCAATTTGATGTTTAAATTGCAGCGCTAAATCCTTGGGAGGTAAAGGTGTGAAGAACGACTGATTTTCTGCAACTTGAGGCTTTGAGGAAAAGGACATTGTTAGCCTGATCGCACAAAAAATGGATCGTGTTCCATGGTGTACGGGATTCCCCGTGAAAACAGATTTTGATGTTAACATCTGCAAAATGATACATACATATCACTGAATAGTCGAAAGTCAAGAATGTATTTTCAGGTAATAGATAATTTTAAGTCATCTTTCTTTGCTTAACGAATTATCTCTTTGGTTTTTATTAATTTTTGTTTAAGTTTTCAAGGAAAAACCAACACATTGATGGTTATTGTTCAAGTTCAGTTAATTTGACTTCTTTAAATCGGAGATTTATATTTTAACACATTTCGTGAATGCATTTCACTATACTTTGCATCCTAAGAGAAGCTTTTCATTGCTAAGCACACAGCATACTAGTTACACCACGTACAGCCTATACGAGAAGGCCAATTATTGAGATGTTTGGAGACGAGCCAAGAAAATGGGAAAGATGCGGGAATTGAAATTTACAATCATGTTTACTACAGATGGTTTAATCATTACTTCCTTCTTGTGTGGCTAAGAGGAGGCAGAATCGTGAAAGTTAAACATCAGAGTTGAGAGGACATTCTGTTACGATAGCATCAAACTACAGGATGTGATATTGTAGCAATGACGCCTGATATCAACTCTGATTTTGATGAAAGTACTCGATTTGGCGC